GGTCAAGTCGTGCTGAAGTGATCATTGATTGGAGGTGACTTCAATGTGTGTCAAGTCTGCTCTGGGCCCGACTGAGGTGACCTGACTCAGTGACCACAGGGGATGCACCAAGGAGGAACTTTCAGCAGCACACTTTCAAAAACAAGCAGGGGGGTCACCAAGATTTGGACACACAGTAATTAATGTGTGTGTTGAGAAATGATGAGTGTTTTTGACCTGATCTTTTCTCTGATTTGTGTGGATACGCACTGTCGTTTGGCAATTTTGAGGAAAGGTTAAGATTGAGGAAAAATTTCTGGAGGAGAGAGAAATAAAATCATTGGGAAAGGAGGGGAAGGTAAAGGCTCAGGGTTGGTTGGAATAACAAGGATATGGTTCTATGAGGAAATAAAGACAGACATGATGTATCAGGGTGAGGGACTGAGGCTGTCTCAGTTCCCTTGAAAACAAAACATCCATCTCCATGGAAGAAAGAAATCATCTGTTACATCTTCCTCTGGTTACCTAGTTTCATAAGTATTTGTCAATTATTTGAAAAAGCCTCCCTGTTCTTGTTCAAACACGGGCATCTGAGTTTCGTTTAGTGTCACTCACACTGGATCCTGGCACTCAATCAAAATGTTTCTCACCTCCTTTTTAGTTACCTGAACAGTCATCACCTGAGCTGTTGCGGGTGCTATTTGCCTGTATAATGGACATGGAAAACGTGAGTTCCTGGTGTGGAACCTAGCTGTGGCCAACAGTCACAGCCCCCTGGCACGCGCTGGGTGAAGTCAGATTGTCCACTCCAATACATTGCTAACCAGCTGCCTTAGTAGCACCCCCATGAACCTGTTAAATAAATCTTTGTAAACTGTAAAGTGCTTTTTTTCCCCCGGCCAGCTTTGAGTCTAAGTCAACAGCTATGTCTGTGGCCATGATTCATTTTCTAGAAGGATTGAGACAGTGTTCCCTCTATCCTTCCAAAAAATTACATATACCAGAGCGATGATATTCAGAGTAGGGTTGACTGTGGTCAGCCTGGTTTGGAGACTTCCCTGCCTCCAGGGGTGCTTGCTTCTCTGGCCCATGGAAGTGGGGCAGCTTTAGCAAGGAGCGGTTAGCTCTGGGACCCTGCCGCTGCCATGGCATAGCCAGTTCAGGCCATCCCTCAGCAGGTCTGAGAAGGTCATTTATGGGACCGAGCACAGAGGACTTCCTCAAGGCAGAAAAAGACAGTGTTTGCCAGTCTGCAGTTTCCTCTCTGTACCTCGTGTGGTATGTGACCCAGTGAGCACCGAGTGAAGACCCACTTCAGCTTTGTAGACGTGTCCCCTGGAAGTGCTGGAAAGTGAAGGGTGCCTGGGCGGTGGGGTTCATTGGTTAAACTCCCACTTGCACATTTGGGGTTTCACATTCCATTTTTCTTTCACCTTTCACTGATCATTTATTCCGTGTGTGGCTTTTGGCGACTGACTGGGAAGGTGTGGCAGTTATTGAAGATGACGATGAAATAATGCTTAGGAAACTGTAAGCAACTAAAGAATCTCATGGTAATAGTGCAAGAAAGATAGTCTGTGTTTCCATGTGGCATGATTTGTTGGACCCTCTATGTAGGATAACTGACCGCACAATATAAAAAGACTCTTTGCAATGAAGTTCCTTGTCCTTGTAGTGTTTCTTCTCTGAGTCCAAAAGATTTCTAGAAATAATGTGTACCTTTCCCCTTAAAGCCAGAGGAGTTTCAGATCTGGTTTTGTTTTTGTTATCTTGTGGAGATGAGGTAGGAATATTAAATATCCTTATTTTAGGGATAAACCGGATTCCAGATCAGTCTGGCCGTTCACTCAGGGTTCTCCCTGAGGTGCCCAGGGCAGGCGTGATGAAGGTGTCCGGGGCTCTGTCCTCCCTCACCCGCGGCCTCCATCAGGGAGAGGCCTGTGCCCCGGCCTCCGCTCTGCCTCACATCCGTCTGTCCCTCTGCCCGTCTGCGTGCTCCCCCTGCTCCTCGGACCGCCTTGGGCCACCCGCGCTTCTCTCTGAAGCCACTGCAGCAGCCCTCTCCAGGCCCTTCACCCAGGGCCCACCAAACCCTGGGTGGAACACAAACTCTGTGTCATGACTCACAGGCTCCTTTGTGATCGGGCTCCACTCCTTCCTCAGCTAGTCACAGGCCTCTCCCCTCTGATCGTGTTCTGGCTGTAGCTGTGCTAAATTACTTGCAGTCTTTGAGTGTCCCAAGTTCCCTAAGCTTGGCGACACTCTTCCCTCTTTCTGATGCCCCTTGCCCCCGTCCCGCATCCTCAGCTCCTGCTTTCCTTCGAGACGACTTCCACGTGGCCGGGGAGCTTTCCTGATTTTCCATCCTCCGACCCCATCCCAAGGCGGTATGGGTGTTTTTGCTGGGCACTGTACTCTGCAGTAGTGTCTGTGGTGGTGATGTCTTTCCTATCTCCCATGAGCCTGTGAAGTACTGTGCGGGGGTACTGTGCGTTGTTGATTTCTTATATCTCGAGCTGACACATGATTGATATTCAACAAATATCCACTAGTTAAATAGCAAAATCCCAGCTTTCTTGGTCCTCAATGAAAGATTCTTTATTAGGCCACAGTAGGCCCTTGATGAATAATAATAACCAATATTACTAAGCACCTAATTTCCACAGACTGTGCTCCAGGCACTGAACACTCTCCATGCATTCAATCTGAATCCTCTCAAAAATTGGACAAGTCCATTTACAGATAGTAAAACTGAGACATAGAGCACTTAAGTGACTTGCCTGATGACACAGCTCTTAAGAATCAGGATTCAAACACAGGCAGTTTGACTTCAAAAATCACATTAGGCACAATACATTTTATCTCTAGCACCTGTTTCCAACATGACCTGATACTATGGGTAGAAAACAAGTAAAGTTGAGTACCAGCTCATATCTGTCTAAAGGAACAAGAAGGGCTGGGGAAGAAAGGGAGAGATGATAGTTTAAATGAAGGAATTCAGTAATGTATTTGTAGCATATTTTAAGGTAAGTAAAGGTTTTTGTAAGTGGATTTAGATTTTGCTATTTTTAACACTGCTATGATAATAAAACAATTTAGACTGAAATTTCAAGTGAAAAAAGATGGTGAATACCTAGAATAGCTTTTATGCTAACTATTTTTATGCTGTTTTTTAGATATTTATTTTAGGTATATATTTGCAGATATTTAACAAAATATGTTTTTTCTTCTCTTTGGGCTTCCAGAATATCACAAGAATCTGTGTTTCCGCTAGTTTTCAGAGGCTTTTCACATGCATTATATTGATGCCCAAGATTTCACAGACTTCTTGAGAAGCTGATAATCTTCTCAAACTCCTGCATATTCTCAGTACACACCACAATCCAGGGCCTTTGAACAACTCCAGCAGCGTTAGCTGTGGCGGAGAGAAAAATAGCCCTTGCAGACTCCTTGATTAGGTGGTAAACCTTTGACATGTATACTGCTTGAGGATGAGGACTTTATCCCATCCAGTGTTTTATCCCAGAGAGAGGTGCAGAACCAGCCTACAGTAGATATCTAGTAAATATCCATGGAATAAATGAATGATTGAAAGTCTTAGAATGACCTGAGTTAGTATTTATTTTGTTAAATGACTGGCCATGGCACTAATAAGTTCTCGGAGGCCAAATGAAAGCAACTCACACAAGGAATCATCACCGTCGCCACCCACATAACTTGTGAGCATGTGAGTGAGGGTGCTTCATGGAGCAGTGTGCTCATTTCAGGTTTATGCCCCCAAAGAACAGTGAACCCCCAGAGAGAAAACATGCACTAACTTACGAACAAGTACGGAGTCCTTTCAGTACGCACAGTTAGATGTATGCCCATCCACTAGATTCAGAGTCTTCATGCAAAATAGTCCACAAAGTAAAGCTCTGCAGATAAGTTCCAGCAAAACAGTTCCCACAGAAATGATAGGATAAGGAAACATACTCTTGGATTCATCCTCTGGTAGTTGAACAGGCAGAGGGATGGGAAGAAAATGATAGCACACTGTTTTTTGGCACTTACTTTGAGAGGCAGTGGTATAAGGATTTTACAACTGAAGCCAGAGACATTAAGCAGCTTGTGTGAGGCCACACAGTTTGAGCCTGATCCCAAAGCCCTTGCTCTTAACTCTTGTACCATGTTGCTCTCAGAGTGACACCAAGAATAGAAAACACAGAAAACCCACACCTTCCTTCAGAGGAAGTCTCTTCACAGCTTGTATCTGCCAAGAGTTCTATTATTTCCATTCCCAACCTGGACATTAGCTGGCAGATCACTGCATATAACTTATTGTGATTTCTTTTTCAAGGAGAGAAGTTCTAGAAGAATATATGGAGACAAGTGCAGTCTTACTGATCATCAGATAAATATAAACCAAACAACAGATTTTTTTTCACTTATCTAATTATTAGTTTCTATTTAAAATTAATATACCTATATTGACTAAGGGCAGCAAAGCCCAGACTTATTCTTTGCTGATAGGAGGGTAAATTGGTAAAATATTTTTTTAAACCAAAAAGTACTATTTTTGTATCTAAAGCTTTAGCCCAAAATGAATCCTACTACTGGGATTCATTCTATCCTGATGATCTTAAATACAGAAAAGACCTTGCATACTTAGATAGGTGGTCAAATAGTAAGACGCAATGACTGCATATTAAAGTATCCTGAAATATTGGCATTATTTGCTGATTTATACTTGATACTGTTTTTTGTCTATGTGAGTTCACACAGCAGTGTACACAGTAAGCCCTATGTTTTGGCAAAGATATTTCTGGCATGACCCATTGCTTTCAATTAGGTTAAAGAGGCTAACTAACTGACAGTTACCAGGGAGTCTAAACTCTTACTAATATAATTTTTGTTAGAAATATTGGTAACTTGTTATTAAATAGACTCTTTTTCCTCTACCTTTTACCTTAAGACTTCGCTTTCAAAGTTTTTCTTAACTCAAAAGAATTTGCTGAGAAAGCAAAATATCTTGTACTTACCTATCAGTGCTCGCTCAGATCTCCGTGTAGTAGCAGTCAGTATTTGCCCAGACTGAAGCAAGTTACCCGTGGCATGCTGTTTTAAGAGAGACTATGCAGACATCCTTTTATGGTGGTGAGGTTTTTTTTTTTCCTGTCACTGTGACTGAGCATGTAATGATCAGTTAGCTTCGTGTATGTGTGTGCACTTTTTTTTAAAATGGGAAGTGAAATTTTTTTGATAGTGTTTAAAAAAAATAACAGCTATCCAAAAGCCCCTTGGAATTTATAAATTGTTGATGTCTATGGAACTTTATAAATTTTTCTATAGAAGTTTAAGCATCAAAAAATTATTTGAAAGAGACTGAAGCAATAAACCTTAATTAAAAAATACAGTTTTACTGATTATTTTATATTGATAATCTGCGCATCAGTGATGAAGAGATTTCACCAGCACAAACCCTCTATTGCTGTAAAGTACATCCCTCGAGATAACAATTGAGTTATACCCTGCACATAGCCTGCAGTCTTAGACTAGCTGTTAGGAAATTCTGACCTTATCAGCACCTCTCCCCAGCCCTGGCTGTTATCTGCCCTGTTAGCCTTCAGGCACGGTTGGCCACTGGCCTCTTTGTAGCTCCCTTTTGTAACCCTATCGCTAAACACATAAAGAAAAGTATAGGAAATAAAAAGTGAAATAGTGATGAGAACAAAGTGTAGTTGTAGGCTAAAATTAAATCTGTAATCTTTCACAAATTATTGATTGGTGTGGTTTTCATTTTATCCAGTGTTTATTTTATGTTAAAATATAATGATTGTTAGAATTGTTCATACAGTTTCTTTTAAGCAGCCTTTTACTTGTAACCTTTTGCTTGGCCAGCTTTTATAAAAATGACTTATTTCATCTAATGGCTCTCTCTCAAGCCAGGATCAGAAATGGGAGTTTTGGTTCACAGATTTAGTACAGATTTGATGTTACAAGCTGAAAAGAGACCATTTTGGTTAGATTAGATAGTCATTTGGAAAAGACTTAGGAACTTGTATCAAGCTGAATTGGGCTAAACGTAGAAGCCCCTTGAACTTAAAAGCGAGCATTTTTCCGTGTCCCCCTTTTACTGCCCTTATATCTAATAACTGTTGCTGGTACTGAAGGGAACACAACCATCTACAATGAGCTCCTGATAAATAAGAAAAACTGCACCACCTGATCTAGATAAGAAATGGGCTCTGCTGAAATACCCCAAAACCCCAAGAATGTGTCAGTTACCTTAGTCCTTAAATAACTGCTTTCTTTTATATCTTTGAATCCAATTTGTGTGTAATATTAATTATTAGGTTGAGTCTTGTGAATCAAAACTCCTGTAAGTGAAGAACTGTAGCCAACTTGAAAATAAGCAGCCCCAAATTGCTTAAAGGCATTGTAACTTGAAAGAATGGCAGGATTGATGCAGTATGAACACTGGCTAATGTCATCAGTGCTTGGGATCTAAACTCTTATTAGAAAAGATACTAAATTGCCAGGCTTGATCGCTCAGCCTGTAATCCCAGCACTTTGAGAGGCCGAGGCAAGTGGATTACCTGAGCCTGCAGGTTCGAGACCAGCCTGGGCAACTTGGCGAGACCTCGTCTCTACAATAAATCAAAAAATAAGCCAGGCGTGGTAGTGCGTTCCTGTAGTTCCAGCTACTTGGAAGGCTGAGTTGGAAGGATCGCCGGAGCCCAGCAAGTTGACACTGGGGTGGCCGTGAGTGTGCCACTGCACTCCAGCCTAGCTGACAGAGTGAGACTCCAACTCAAAAAAAAAAAAGAAAAGAAAAGATACTAAGTAATGGTCACAAGACACGTAATTACTATTAATCAATAGTTAAGACAATACCTGTTTTACTATAAATACTGGAATGAATTTATGTTGCTTTGAGCAGACTTTGGTGGCTACACTGAGTTCTGTGAATTCTGAATTCAGATTAAACGCCTTTCTTCCAAGTTTTCTGCCCTCGTGTTTCATTGGCAAATAAGAGAAAACAGCCGAGTGTTGATAGGACTCTTTCATAAGTATGGATTTCTAAATGTTTTAAGGAAAAAGAAATGTCAACTTTGACAATTTTACCTGGAAACTTGGAATCAGGAAGTAGTTTACCCATCCTCTATCTTAGCAGCAGCTCTGCGAAAGAATTAAGTTTCTGTGATATAGGTGAGAATGACTCCCCAGGATGTGGAATGGACAGAATTAACTTTCCTGTTCAGGCAAGAGACTGCCTGAATAACAGGGAAAGAGTTGAAGGGAGGCACTTGCAGGTTAAGTTCCTGCCTCTTGTGTTGAGGATGAAGAGATCCATGCCATTCACCTTATAGCTTGAGTTGATGCGGTTTAAATCAACAATGTAACATGACTGTCAAAATGCAATCTATTTGTAGGTGAGATTACTAGAAATACAGTGTTCAGGCCAAGAGAGTTGATGTTTACACTTACCGAGCACCGATACAACCATTTCCAGGCAGTTCTGGGTGCTGCATTTTACAAAGGACGTAGATGAGTTAGATTGTACCTGGGGTAATACCAGGCCTGGATAGCAGGCCTTAGGCAAATGACTGAATAATCTAGGGATATTAGGCTTTGCAGGGATGTGATCATTGTCACATGTTTGGAAATGATCTCACAGAAAAGCATTTACATTGTTTATGTCAGTCTTCCTAACTCCAGAAGACAGAAGGAAGGCGGATAAGAGGATGTTACTGGAGACAGCCTTCAGATCAAAAGATGAGTCTTTTCCAGCAGTTGAGCTCATTAAAAAGTGGCATTTGCTGTTGCTTGTTTAGATGCTTATGTAAACTGGATGATGAGTTTGAGGATGATGTAGCGAGAATTGAGTCTTTTTATAGGAATTTATAGCTCTGTGATCTCAGAGGCCTTTTGCTCTAGGATTCTGTAAAAATGGCCAAGTGGCTTTAGCCTCCCAGTGGTGTCATTTGGTTCTTCTAATCTCTAAAGTGCTGAGTGTTTGTGGAGGAACATTGTTGAACAAAAGAAAGAGCAACAAGTCTGCTGAATTATTTGGGCCTCCACCTCACTGTCTATAAAATAAAGGTCCTGAACTAAGTGATCTCTAAGATAATTCCTAGTATGAAAATTCTAGGAAGGGATAATACAGAGACTTTTGACTTGGAAAATAACATGACATAATATTCCAGAAATATTTCATTTAAAACTTGAACTGAAGAGTACTTGAAGAAGACACTGATGAGAAATTTTTCAGTTTGTTGAAAGACCATCCTGTTGGGGCTTTTGACTTTCAATTTGTTAAATAGTTATTACTAAGTAAAACATTATTATATAACAGAGGACTCAACTAGTTAAAGTAATTCTTCTGGCAAACTGTACCTTTTCTTTTTTTGGTGTCAAAGTGTCAAGCATATGAAGAAGAGGTGATGGGATAATTGTCCTCCAAGAGGCTGCTGTCGAAGCTGCATGTGAGAAAATTCCATGAATCCACAAACCTTAGTTTTCGTTGTTAGTTTTATCTTAGATTTTATGGAAAGTTGCCACAGTTTCTTGAGCTGTGATTGTGCTGTAAAAGTAGAGTTACATTCTTTTCTGTAGAAGAGGTGAAATGGACCTTAGCAACCTGAACTGAGTGTCTCTGTTATTTTGTCTGTTCTACTGAGTATAATTGTGAGTGTATAATAGCAGAGGCCCAATAAATATTAGTGCTGTTAGTTAAAAGATGAATGTATGGTGACTCATTCCTGTAGTACCAGCAACTTGGGAGGCTGAGATGGGATCATTGGAGCCCAGGAGTTTGAGACCAGCCTGGGCAACATAGTGAGACCTTGTCTATAAAAAAATTAAAAATAAATCAGGCAAGTATAATAGCTTGCACTTTGTAGTCCTAGCTGCTTGGGAGGCTGAAGTGGGAGGACTCACAGTGAGCTATGATCTTGCCACTGCACTCTAGCCTGGGTAACAGAGTGAGACCCTGACTCAAAAACAAAACCAGGGTGAATGAATTCCTTATAACCTGTTTTCTCTTTTCTGTACTTCCAGCCCGATAGGCTAAAGCCAGAGAGGGCTTCTAGAAGGTAGCTCTTTACAATACGGTAAAGGTCAAACTGAATTATTGTTGACAGTGTAAGGAACACATGTTGTCATAAATAAGGAGAAGAGATACACCGGTCAGTGACTAATAACATCTTGGTATTTTGTGAAGTCTGTGTGTATAGAAATAGCAACAGAAAATTTCTACAGAATAGCCCATGTAACTCTGGTCTGAAATGTGCACTTTTGTGTTATGTATAGATGTGGTCTAGTATTTAGTCATCATCTACAATTGTACAGTGAATAGTAACTTTTAAGGAATTTTAAAACTTTTTCTATTGGTATATGAGATGTAAACTGTGGCCATTAAAATTTCTATCAATATTTTTCTTTTGTAGTGTGCATTGAAATGTAACCTTAAGCAAGAACTCTGCTTCAGATTAGTTCATTCTAACATCGATATTTGTGTTTTACTGCCAAATGTAAACAGAAGAGCCTCTGTGAATTGCGTGCCTCAGAAGCTCTGTGTGGGAGAGCCCCGGTGCAACTTGCTAGCCAAAGTCAGCTTTGGTCATTACCAAGAGGCCAGCAAGCCATATTTTGAGCACGTATACAAAACCGTGTGTTTTAATCTCATTACAATGATAAAACAGAGAAAGGGGCTTTTTAAAGTAAACGGCAAATTCTGCTGTGTGGTTTTACTGTTTTATAGAAAAACTAATTTCTTCTGCAAGTCCTGGTTGAAACGTACTCTGTGCCGGGCACTGTTCTAGACAGTGGGGTGAGGCAGTGAGCAAGAGAGACCCGGGTCCCGTCCTTGGAGAGCTTACATTCTCTTCTGGTCGGGAGCAGAGTTGACAAATCTTGTAGGAGATTGGATGGTTATGAGTGCCAGGGATAGGTGGTCAGGAAGGGAGCAGAGAATGCGAGTATGAGATGGGGCTGTACAGCGAGATGGAGTGCAGTTTGAAACCAGCTGGTCAGGTTTCTTGGAGAAGGCTTCTTGGAGAAGTTGCCGACCAGGTCGGGGTGGGGATGCAGGGCCTTGAGGTCTTTATCATGACTTTGGCCTTTTCTCTAGGGTGAGGAGTCACTGGTGGGTTTTAAGCCCAGGAGTGACTAACTTGTACTTTTCAATGAAAAGAAGGCACAGCTGTTTTAACCAACTGTGTATGGGTTTAGAGTTGGGCAAAAGCAGTTCTTTTACGCAGTACTCAGACATTGCTTTGTTAATTGTTTAAATCCAACAATTACTGAGTATGGATTATATGTAAAAATCTGCATTAGGCACCAGGGAGATGTAAAGCTAAATAAAATATGAACTTTCTCTCAGAATTAATTAATAGGAGATTTTTTTTAACGGAAAGTTCATTTAAATGTGTCGTACAGTTGTTCAAGAATCAAGATAAGCGCCTAAGATGTGCCAGGCACTGTGCCAGATCTGGGGGGCCCAGGAGGACGGCCTTCCCTCCCCTGCCTGGGGTGCTCAGCTTGGGAAGAGGGTCCTGTCCCACGGGGGATAGGAACCCCACTTAGCCATGCACATTCCTCTGCTGCCCTGTGGCTACAGTCTTCCTCACTAGCCATCAGCCAGGTGGCTCTCTCGCATCTCAGTATCCCGTCTTGACTCAGTGCCTGCACTCAGGCCTTTACTGGTTGGGGTTTTCCCTGTTCTAGTATTTGCTACATTACATTCATACCCGTTGATGTGGCTGCCATACCACATTTGGGATGTGTGTGTGTGTTTCATTTTTAATAGTAGAATTGGGAGGACAGTAAATGATTTTTTTTTAAAGCACAGTCTCTATCAAGGTTGAGAAAATATACAAGAGGCCAGGAAGGGTTCTGTGTTTCCTCAAAAATAGTTTGAGGATGGTTCTTTCTTTTTTTGAGTTGGAGTCTCACTCTGTCGCCCAGGCTGGAGTGCAGTGGCATGCTCACGGCCACTGCAGCCTCCACCTGCTGGTCTCAGGCGATCGTTCTGCCTCAGTCTTCCAAGTAGCTTGGAACTACAGCCTTGCACCACTACGCCTGGCTAATTTTTTGATTTACTGTAGAGATGAGGGCTCACCAAGTTGCCCAGGCTGGTCTCAAACCCATGGGCTCAAGCAATCCTCTCAACTCAGCCTCCGAGGTAAGAGGGGTGCCTGAGCCCAGAGGTTTGAAACCAGGTTGGGCAACTTGGTGAGACCCTGTCTCTACAGAAAAAAAAAGAAAAAAAAAACATTAGCCAGGTGTGGTGGCATGTGCCTGTAGTTCCAGCTACATGGAAGGCTGAGGCGGAAGGATCGCCTAAGCCCAGTCAGTTGAGGCTGGGGTGGCCCTGAACATGCCACTGCACTCCAGCCTGAGAGACAGAGTAAGACTCCAATTAAAAAAAAAAAAAGTGAAAAATAGTTCTTGCACTTTTTTTATGATAATAGTCTTTTGTACTGGTGCCATTCCTCCCCAAGGGAAAAGAAAAGACTGAGTAATTAAACCAAGTATTTAATGAAGAACGAGTAAATGGATGGGCTCCCAGCATGCTACTCACTCATATTAACTGCCCAGCCCTTGGGGGAACGTGAGTTTACGATCCTGACACAAGTGGGGGACTGCTGCTTCTCACAGGTGTAGAAATAGCTCCTGAGCTGGGCTCGGTGGCTCAACCTGTAATCCCGCGCCTTTGGGAGGCTGAGGTGAGTGGATTGCCTGAGCCCGCGGGTTCGAGACCCGCCTGGGCAGCGAGACCTCATCTCTACAATAAATCAAAAAGTCAGCTGGGCATGGTAGCACATGCCTGTAATTCCGGCTACTTGGAAGGCTAAGGCGGAAGGATCACCGGAGCCCAGCAGG